CCCGCTTCATTTCTCGATACCGCAGTGAGTCCTCTTTTTGCCCCTTTCGTTTTGGTCTTGTTTGAAACAAACCAAGGAGACGTCCGCCATCCATCTCTTGCTCGTCGAAGCTTTTTATGCTCTTTTTCTCCCATATGCTCTTATAACTATGGCGAATACATGTACAAGTCGATGCTACTTGTCAATACGAGCTTTTTTTCATCCATGCTCGTGCTCGTGTAACCTTGGTGGTTCTCGATCGACCACATCCAATTCTGGTCATTGGCTTGAATCATCGTGCTGAAAAAAAACATTTAATTAACGTTAATTTCTCGGTAACATGTCATACCGAGTAAAAGAACTATTCTATGTTTCGTCAGAATTAAACTATAAAAACACACTCGTTATTATTGACTTATGCCGGGGAGAAAAAAAACCCGTGCAACGCGAGTCAACGCAATGAAAGGGCGATTTGGCGACAGGCATGTTGGTGTAAATTATGAAATTGCTAACGCGTTTGAAATTATGAAAGTTATAGTTGTAGGTAGATTTAGTACGGCGTATCTATGAAAATCCATGGCATTGGAAATTCATTACGGAGCTCGCACAAACCGATTGAAATGTTCCGCAACAACTTTTTGAAATCCAGATACAATCGAGGGACGTCGCAAAGTTGCCGTACCGAGAGGTACGGCTCTCCGAACGTTTTCTTTACGGTGCATTAACTTTAACGATCTAGATATCGAGCAATCGCGAAGCGAGCCCACTGCTTTCTTTGGCACACATCTCGAAAAGTTATTTCGTAGTTTCGGCTTGGTTCAGCTTTGAGTCTGAGAAAAAGAAAACAATTTGATAAAAATTTGTCTACCAATATCGAGCTGCGAAATTACGAACAAAAGTTTTCAATTTGTGGAGTTTGCACTGCGATCCCTCGCAGTCGTGAAAACGGATGTGTGAAAGTACGTATAACAAACGAGACGCTTCGTTGGGAAGATAAATTCAATTCTTTTAAAGAAGCAAGGTAATACGCGTATACTTATAACGAACTCGAAACCATATCGTAATCATCTTAATCGCTGTAAGTAATAGAGCCGTAATAAGTGGCTCTTTCGTCTGGAGAATCAAAATCTTAATTTTCAACAGGTAAATAACACGGAGTCACGCGCTACCGTATATTCAAGGGAGCAAAGACAAGGAGGAGGGATAGAAGCGTTACCCGGGGATAGGTGTGCGTCGACTACACGAGCATAAGTCGTTTTGTGGTTAGAGACTATCATCACCAAATTGGATTGGTGCATAAAAGGCTCTTGCGCGCTTATCCCGAGTAGCCCGAGAAACGTTGCAGCACTGCTCCTTCTCTTTTTTTCTCTCTCTCTCCCGCAAGGCCGAAGCCTTTTGGGTGCACTTATTACTTATCCGTCTTCTTTGCAGCCTATCACGCCTCGGCTAGTAGATGGCTGCCTGTCGCCACCACCACCCGTACGGACTTTTATGATTCCGGCTGAAGTGCTCGTAAAACTTGGCTTTACGGCCGTCATGATTTTCAACAAACGGTCCCTGCCACCTGTCGGAGTTGCTAGCCCCACTCAATAGGATTCAGCGCAATAGCGTATATAGCTGCAATGACTACCTACTTATTGTCTGACTCCTACCCTCACGTACTACTGTACATACTCTCAACTGCTCGAGAGAGCGACATCAAACAGTTCGGCGATCTCCTACGTGTGACATACGAAACTTTGATATTGATTGGTTTGAAAGAGTTTCAAAACTTCATTTTGTTCAGCCATCAATCATCGAATATTTTTCGACGCATAATGACTTTAATCTTTTTGATGATGTCATGATTCATATACCACACTCGTATGGGAGTGGTCTGCCACATCCTCCATGTATAACGATGCAAGACTGGTCAACTGTCAAAAATGTCATTAATCACTCGAATTCGAGCACGAGTCGAATAGAGCCTTGGAGGTGTGAAAATTAGAAAGCCATCATAATTGCGGTCATCATACAGAAAATCTAATCGCGAATTAATTAAAGAGTTATAGAGTATTAAGTTTATAGCAGAGCATAAATGTCATCGATAGAGCTGGATGGGCTCATAAAATGGAAATCTGCAGTCATAAAAAATGAAAATATATCTCGTTAAATCGATTAGCATGAATGTGTCAATAAAAAGCGATAATGGCCTCTTAATGTTATTAATAAAGTGTAAAACTTGTAATGGACAAGATTATTGAGAGATAAAATGAATCTCTTTCTCTCGAGCAGCGCAAAAGTAGAAGCGTATCGGTCGGAAGAATTTTTATCGATCGTTTCATTGAAAAATCATGTGTGCGTAAACAAATGTGGCACGCGCCAAAGCAATAATCGTTCTCAGGTATATATAATAAAAGAACACGACTTTAATCTCGAAGGCGCTCTCCGTCGGCTTTAACCGCGACGACGACGACTCTTTATATATAGAAGCACCATAAAAAAATCGTAAAATCTCCTTTCTCTCGTTGAGCACATTATGTACACATGCGCGTGTAGCTGCTGCTATGTATGTATGTGTGTTTATACGTAAAGGCTGCAGATTGTGGCTACTCGAAATCGATCTAACTATGTGTATGCTCGTGTCACTTTACTGCCACTTTATAAAAAGTCAATGAGCCATCATCCGTTGAACGTCGAGTGCCACTGAATAGAGAGCGGGGCGATCGTTAAACATTCTGAAGCAACGATTAAGAGAAAGAGAGATAGGTAGCGAGTATACTACTGCCTGCCTATGCGCCCATCCGTGTGTGCGTGTCTGTTTACGAGCGTCAAGAGTTTAGCAAAACATACACATATACAAACGGTGAAGCGCCTCTTTCACGAGGTTGAAACGCTGGGTATTACTCGGCACGTTATTGTGGAATAATTTATGAGGTGAGAAATCGCGCAAGGGCGATAATCTCGCGCAGTGACATTTATATGCCAATAAACGCCAGCCGTACATATTACGAGTGAGAGAGAAAAAGAAAGGGCAATGAGCTTTTGCGCATTCGAAGCGCGATCGCATTCATCTTATTTTAATTGTGTTATGCATTGGCAAAGGTCACATGTTTATACAAGCGCAAACGTTCAGACGGCATGCGATATGTACGTGCATCGACGACGACGACGACGACGACGACGACGAGACGTTTGCGCAAGAGAAGCGACAGATATCGGCTCCGATGCTGCCTTGTGCACTTTCCTCGCGACACAAATATCGACAACTAGGAGACTCGGACTGAAAGTTTATTTTCGCAGTTTTATATTGCACGAATGAACTTTGACTCAGTGCATCGAGCGATTACATGCGCTACTTGTGTGTGCGTGCACGAGAGAGGTCTCGTTGATTTACGACTGTTCGATGTGAGAACTCGCGTGATAATTGATTTCATTGAGCGCTCGTGAAAAAGTGCAGTACTGGCGCTTCTGATAGCGATAATTATTTTAGCTTAATGATTTGTTTTCACTGCGGCCAACCAAAGTCAATTATTCATTCGCTTCTTCCTCGCACACTCGACACGATACACTTTTCTGTTATTCTTTGGCGCTTGCCACTTACTTTTCACACAATTAATTGTCCGATAATAATGTAGAGCACTATTACTCACCGCATTTATTTGTATGCATTGCATCGGATATTTAATAATTCGTTCGGTAAAAAATTTTTAGAATGCAGTCAGTATACTAAATTACTTATTGCTACAGTTGATCTATGATATTTACAATATTTAACAATGAGCGATTATTACATTGAACATAATGTAAACGACAAAAAACATACAATAATATTGATAAATTTTTAGTATTCAGTACACATGAGCATGGCATACCAAAGTCTCGTAGCTATTCAGTTTTTTCAAATTCGAATATTCTAGTGACAAAAAACCCTAGATCAGCTGAGCCGTACAATCTCCCGAAATATAGGCTTTAGACTTTTTCGAAATGAGAACCGCTGTGACAGAGTTTTGAAAGATTTTAACGCGAGTGTTGAGCGTTTAGCCGAGAGGTGTCGCTGCTCTCCAGTAAGAAGGAAATGAAGCGCGAGCCCGATCCGTGCGCGTTGCTCGGCGAGCTCCGCCCTCGCCTCGGCGGGTGGGGATGGACGGAGTCGCGAGGCGCAGTAGGGATAGCGCGTAATTGCCAAGCGCTCGTGACGAATTCAATTCCAATTGGTTCTCGAGCATGACCTCCCCCTTAGCGTCGCGAACGTCGCTCTCCCTACCCTGACTTATCGGAGCATTCGTCCTTTTCTCGCTCGTGGGCGCATACGTATAGGCGCGCATACACATACACACTCTATTATGCGTCTTATCGCCCGGCGGATTTAATACAGTGAGTGTTGCAACGCGTCGAGTTGGCCGAGTTCTCTGCAGGGGGCTCTACTTGCCGAACTTTTGGCGATTATACACAATGCTCACGTGCACGCGAGCAAAAGAGAGAGAGAGAGAAATAGGACGAGGCGAATGCAAAGGCTCGACACAGCACAGAGAATAGAGAGAATAGCAAGCAGATTGGGCGCTAAAGATCGAAGTTGCAGACTTCTGTAGTACCGCAGATCGAGTGCGCAAGCGTTATCGAGGCTTTATTCGCTCGCCAGGGGCATTGTGTGTGCATTCGTAGCAAGTGCAAAGAGCGAGAGAGAGAGAAAAAGACAAATGTATAGAGCGGTAGAGAGGGGTTGCATTTTCGGAATAAGCGAGAGAGCCGGCATAGAGCAAGTTGTGCAGGACAAACGCAGACTCGGCAAAGCGTGCAAGTTTGGAGCAAAGCTGCGCATCTACATAGGAGTATAAGCGAGCCGGGCGCACTGATAGGAAAGTATCAGCACGTATAGAGGACGACGGACGTACGGTGCAGTCGGGCTGGCGTGCGAATCGCGACTGGCAATGCTCGGCAGCTCCGCTTTTGCTGCGCGCTGATATTCTCTCCTACCTCGAGCCGCCCCGCGCGCGCGCTTCAGTCGACGCACGGCGATTGAGGCCGGTGGTGTGTGCTCGCCTGCCTCTGCTGCCTGCTTCGCCTCTCTCTACTACGTCGCCCGCGATCATTCCGTACGTAAACCATTACCGAGAGCACACACGCCTCTCGAGAGCTCGCTCGCTCGCTCGCGCGTTCGCTCACTTTTCGCCGCAGCCTAGCTAGAGCCTGTCTCTCTCTTACTCGCTACTCGCGATATTGTGTGTATCCATTAATACACATCGTCATACGTATATACGACATATACCTCTACTACTACGACTACGTTTTACTATAAACGCATCCGCGTATACGTACTTACGCGCGCACATACGACGACAGTCTGTGAAAAACTCGCGCGCATTTAACACGCGATATCTCGCGCGCTCGAGTATTACTGCTTAGCCTACACACCGCTACTTGCCACTGCCACTATTATCGCTGCTACTGCTATTTCTACTAATTCTGACACTGCTGCCGTTGTTGTTGACAGTACTTGCTACTTCTGCTGCTGCTGCTGCTCGTACTACTTAATAACGACCTTTTATTGAATTCGTTTCTTCCGACCTTCGACGATTATTACCAACGATTAATGCAGCAATTATTAATCTTCTGATCTCGCATTCGTTGACTCTCTGACTACCAGCCGAGCGAGCTTCCTCGTTATTGTTATTGTCGCTCTCAGTCCTGCTCGCTCTCGCTTTTCACCTAATCTCTCTGACAACAGACTTGTGACAGCGAGTGTGGTCTCGACGTTCTTGGAAACGGTAGCGCCTCGCAGTTTGACATTTGCATTGGGAGGTGATTTCTTCGGTATTGCCGAGAGTGACCGTAGCAGAAGTAACGTGATCCGGTGATAATCTGTGGCATCGAAATACAGTGTGACTTCATTAAAGAATTAATTGGAAAAAGTCAAGGCGGCTCATTGCTACAAGATGTTGAGCAAGAAGTGTATCCTCGCAATAGTAGGTGGCATACATTAGCGCGATTGAAATACCGAAGGGACAGCGCAACAATTAGTTTGCAGTGTTTACATAGCTACTAGCGCCGATGCCGCTACTAGTCTGCCGCACAAAGCTGCAGTCGTCTCGTCAGTGCATGTCCGAGTAATCGCGGGTGCCAAGTGTTCTTTGAGAAATTACCCGCATCAATTTTTGTGTAAGTGTGCAAAACTTGGTAAACGTCGGACGAATTATAAACAGGTCGGGTGACTCGTAACATCGGCCAGTAAACAAAAGATAAGAAACAGCCACGAGAATAGAAATTTGTTGTTAGTGACGGAAAAAATAGTGCGCGATTCGGAAGTGCGTATAAACGCGTATAGTCGCGCGTAGTGGTGAGCAGTTGGGTTGATAATTTTTCGTCCATTGACAGTCGTTACTAAAAACCGCCAAAATAGCCGGCCTGACGATGAACTCGTACTTCGAGCAGAGTAGTGGCTTCTACGGGAGCCATCATCACCAGAGCAGTGCCGCGGCCGCGGCTCAGCACCACGACCCGGCGGCGGCCGCGGCCTATCGCAGCTTCCCGCTGGGTCTGGGCATGTCGCCGTACGCCTCGTCGCAGCACCATCACCACAGCTCGGCGGCCGCGTCGAGCCTCGGGATCGGCCACCCGGGCAGCGGGACGAACACGCGACCGCCCCAGGACTCGCCGTACGACGCCAGTGTGGCCACGGCCTGCAAGCTCTACTCGTCGACGCCCGAGGCCACGGCCCACAACACCACCAGCTCATACACCAGCACGGCCAGCAAGGACTGCAAGCAGCAGGAGCAGGCCGTGGCCGCGGCGGCGGCGGCCCACCAGAACGGCTACGCGGCGGTCATGGCCGCGGCGGCCGTCAAGGATGTCTGGCAGAGCGCCTCGGCCGTGGCCGCGAGTTCACAGAGTTCGGCCAATAACTCGGTCGTGCGTCCGTCGGCCTGCACGCCCGAAGGCTCGCGCGTTGGCAGCTATTCCGGCCTCGTAAGCGGCGACGCGGCCTCAAGTCCCGGTAACAACGGCTCGAGTCGCTCCCTCACGTCGTCCTGGAACACATGCGGTCTTAACAGTTCAGCGGCTAGTCAGCCCGTGGCGACGCAACTGCATCAACAGTCAAGCGCCAACCACACCTTCTATCCCTGGATGGCCATAGCAGGTAAGCTTTTTTTCCTCCTCTCTCTCCTCGTCTTATCGTCATAGACTATCGTCCGGTGCCTCGATATCAACGAATGCCGTAGGTTATATTCGCTGACGACGTTAATAACCGCATTGACATTAGTCGCCGCATACGCACGTACTCGTCTGGTCTTGCGGTTACAACTAAAGCCAAGAACACGTGGCCTCCGCTTTTCTCTCTCTTTCTCTTGTGCATTCGCTGGCGTGCGCGCGTTTGTGTGTGTGTCTGTGCTGCTTGTCCTCGTTCGTTTACATATACATATACGCACAATGTACACGCGCTGCTGGGCCTCGCGTGCAGTCCGATGTTCCGCTCATTGTGTCTTCGAGTAGCGAATATAATACCCAACAAGGGTCACGCTGTGTCTCTGTGTGTCTATGTGTGTATTGCATTTCGTAATGAGTTTTTTAGTACCGATGATAGGGAGGCGAGGACGAATGTTTGCGGATGCCGAATTGTTTATCCGAGGGGTGACACGATGAAGTGTTAAATCGAGAGGCGGCCACGACCATTTTTACCCACACACACGCGTACAGTAGCTCTTCTTTTTTGGCCTGCGCTGCAGAAGGGATAACAATCGTGCGAAAAAAAGAGACGGAGAGAACGTCGGGATTGCCTCGTTTGCCCTTTTAATTGACGGCTTGCGGTTATTGCTAATAAAACGTTTGACTCTGCTTGCTCAACAGCGAGATTTGATTCATAGCGCAGGACCTTCGCCCAGAGTCTGATTACTTGAATCGTCTTCGGATTTTACCGTTTTAAAAATTTATTTCTTACGCTTCTCATAGCGATTCATTATTTATAGTCTTCCTGTATAGGAACAGCTAGCAACATTTTCCTATCAATCGGTAGGCCTTTGAGTCGTGGACAAAACATTGCTTGCAAAAATACAGGACCCTCCGCGTTGAGGGTTGTACGTAGGCAAATACACACTGACTCGAACAATGATAAATTACATTATTTCTGGACGCAACACAATAATAGCTCCCAACGAGTCTATAGGCCGCTCGCCATCGTAATACAAACATCAGTCTAGGCGCTTTTGCGCGCACCGCCCCGTGATTTTACACGAAGCCTCGTATGCATGTGATACACTCACACATATATACGAAATATACACTCACGCACGCACACACACATAGAGACTCGGTCGGTCGCACGTATACATTTATGCTCGCACCGGCTCCGCAGAGTTACATTCGCGCCTGCCAACGCACGGATTGCAGTTCGATTGAAATACGCACCCGGACGCGCGCTACGTACACACGAGCTCATATAGCAGGCTAAATTTTCGCTTCGTCTCTTTCGCGCGCGTCGAAATTTAACGTAGATTTATCGCCGTCCCGAAAGTAAACGTATAAAGCCAGCTCCCGCACTTTTCGAATGAATGTAGATTGTGGAGAGAGACCAATAAAGTATTGAAATCCTCTTGAAAAGTGCGTTGCTTTCGTTTGTTTCGTCGTCGTTGCTGCTGCTGCTGCTGCTGCTGCTGCTGCTACTGCCGCTGTTGTTGCTGGTACTGTGGTTTTTGTCCAACGCCTGCATATACATTATACGCATGTAGCATGCGCTGCTCGTGCGAGTCTTGTTAATGGCAAACGGTGGGTACACGTCGTCGTAGTCGCACCGATAAAGCCAAGCGTGCGCAAAAGTCGAGAATACCCACTTCCTCGCGGCGAGTCGTCAGAAGCGGCATAAAGGTCGATATAGCACCTCCACTGCCTCGCTATACAGCCAAGTCAGCCTGCGAAAAAGAAAAAAGATAATGTTACAAAAAGTTAAGTAGCTATATCGCTCGAGCTTTTTGCTTCGAGCCGTGGCCTCTGCGGCAGTTTTTACTTTCTAATGATATTCTTTGAAAGTGAAAAACTTGGTGGCTCAATTTGAGGTTGATTAGCCAATTCTTTTATGAGATTAAAAATTGAGAGCCGCATAACTTTGTTTGCTACGACCAAAAAAGAAGTGACTTTTTTTTCTGGTCGCGTAGAGACTATCGAATAGCAGACGTTCGCAAAGAAGGAAAAATCATTTCTAATGTGCCAGCTCATCGTGGTTAGATCTTTCGAGATGTACATCGCGAATCACAACATGTAGCGCACGAACGAATAAGCGAACACGCGAAAATTGGGCCCTAAGCTGCAGCCCGCACGATCGAGGAAAAAAAATTAGAAATGCGAGCAGAGAAAGAGACTGTATTGGTGGATCGCGCACGAGACGTCGAGATTTATTCGTTCATACCCGCGCACACACACATACACGCACACATTCGCGCGTGCTCGCTCAATATGAATAGAATGGCGAATCGAAAGCGTATATATATATAGGTACACGCACACACGAGTAGGCTCGCGCGCGCGAGACACATGGAAATCGCTAGGCAGCCGTGTATAGGATTTATTAGCGTTCTACATATCTCGCTCTCTTTTGCTAGCGTGCGCAGCACACACAGCGCACAGAGAGAGAGAGAGAGAGACTAAGAAAGAGAGAGAGAGAGAGAGAGAGAGAGAGAAAGAGAGTCTTTATCTGCGGGAAAATCAGAGCCTGTACTGTATTATGGAGAGTCCGGCCTTTCGTCTCGCAGTAACGCCTTCGCGCCTTGCGGGACCAATCAAGCCCGCATCAAGAGAATGAACCTTTTTTTCAGAGTTCGCGTTGAATGGGTTAAGTATGCGCTTGAATACATATTCATTGCTCCGAGAGCGTGACTGCAAAATTCAATTTACAACTCGCTAGCTCCTCTTTCTTCCCTTTACCTTTTTAATTTACGATGAATGCAATCTATCATCTTTACTACTCGGAGCGCGAGCTGCCTGGAAATTGTTTCAGCTTCGGTATGTGCGTGTACCGCTTGCATCTGACCTTTGTTGCTTCAATAATGCTCTCTCTCTCTCTCTCCTCGAACTCCTCTCCTCTTACGTAACTTTTCAATAACGCATCGATATCTCATTCTTTTATAATGTCTCAATGATCGTTAATAGCTTCAATCGATCGACAAATCCTCGCCCGGCAAAGTCATTCCCATGCAATAAAGCTGCACAATGAGGCTGTTATAAATGTCACCCATAAACAGCCTCCGAAATTCATACAGGCGCGAAAAAGGAGGAGCTGTATTTTATGTATTATATATTACATAAGAGAAGAGAAGTTGAGGGATAGAGAGAAGGAGAGAGAGAATGACGTACAGGAATAGAGTCAAGTGCGTGTAAAATCATTGCGCACAGTGAGCCAACGCACCAGTGAAAGAGAGAGAGAGAGAGAGAGAAGGAGAAAGAGAAGAGGATTTGCACGATTAGGGTTCAAGTGGTTCTCTTTCTCGCATTCGTTCCCTTTGACATACATTGAGTTTAATAATACACACGCACGTGTATGCAGAGAGAGAGAGAGAGAGAGAGAGAGAGAGAGAGAGAGAGAGAGAAACACACAGAACGAGTGGATCACCCCTCCGGAACCCAAATTCCATTTCTAAACTGTACAAGTCAGCTGTTCTCGTCTTCGGCTTATAGTATACGAATTTTGTTGCTGTGTGTATTACCCACATGAATCAACGGTTCATTCGTTTCATGCCTACTCTATATACACGTAAACTTTTGACTCTCGGCCTGTGTTACGTTCGAACGCTACATACACGTACTCGAGCACGAGCACGTCTGTGTGGAATATACGCGTACATATATATGCAAGCGATAAACGCTCTCTGGTCACCGAGACGACGGCCTGTATACTTGTAGGGCCTTCACGCCCACATTTATAAACGCGTAGTTTAAGTCTTTATCTCCTCGAACACGCGTTTAACTTACGGACTTTTCCTCCTACATGCTCAACCTGTTACGAGTTGCGTACAACTAATTCTTGTAGCGTTTGTGCGATATTTTTGTTGTTGTTTTTTTTTCTTTGTTTTTGCGTCTCTCGAATAATTGACGCGAGCAAGTGCGTATATAGCGCGGTTACGAATGAATAACAGCTCGAGAGCACCGGCTGCAGTCCTGCTATTTTCAATTAAACTCGTATTAAAATGCCATAATGTAGTGCATTTGCGTACGCTTATATGTTATTTCAATATTTACGATTCCTCGGAGTAAATAATATCGGTAGAGTAGCAGCAACATTCCGATACAGCAAACTTCTTCTACTTCTTCTTCTCTTTCGTTGCTGGCTGTAGCGGCGGTAGCAACAGCAGCAGCGGCGCGTCGCAATAAATCCAATTTATATCCATTAGAACCGAAATTTATGCGCACCTAGCAGCAGAAGCTACAGAAATTCTATTCTTATTTGGACTTATTGCGATTATGTTGCGCGCGCGCGCAAGCCTCAACATCACACAGGTGCGATAAGGACTAATTACTCTTTACCGCGTATACTTGCTCGGCAGTCGTGCGCGCGCGCGAGTAAAAAAAAGAGAGGGTGAAATTAATAAATCAAGCGGTTAAATCGGTGCGCGCTGCGGCTGCTGCGCTCTGCGAATGCTCGGCAAGCGTCGAACGAAAAATAATATTCATATACACGTGGACGCTAATATAGACAGAAAGACTGAATTATCGATCTGCGGAGCCTCGGAGTGCCGTTCCGCGGAACCTGTTCGCTCGCCAGTCCTTGCGGCTGTGCCTCGATGCGTCTCTCTGTGTGTGCATAGTTCCGAGTCATTGACCGAGCGCTTATGAATTCGCGCGATGCGTCCTTTTGTCCCAACGATTCTCGCGCGATAAAGTTAACGAGCTGCCTGCGTGTGTGTGTGTGTGGGTGTGTGTGTGTGTGTGTGTGTGTGTGTGTGTGTGTGTGTGTGTGTGTGTGTCTATAAATATACAGATCGACAGGCGCAACCGATATAGGCGAAAAATCCGGGGGAAAAATGGTTGTTCCAGGGCTGCCATGGCAGCTAGCTATAGCTAGCTAGCGCAGAATCGTGTAGAGTCGTAGTGTGCGCGGGTGTGATGTATATAAGATGAATGGCGAATGCTCGCATTACGCGTGCGCTTTCGAGT